GCAGCAAGACTTTATTACTTTAATAGTAGAATAGGCTGCAAGGCAGCTTGTGTCCAGGACTGTCAGAGAGGACAGTGTGTATGGATGGCAGGACAGTGAAGAAGAGGTGCCGACGTGGTGAAGAGGCCCTCCTGTGAGAGTGTGAGACTCCTGTCTTCCTGCCAAGTTGAAGGAGTGTTGGAGGTCGTGGAAGAAGAGGCTGACGATCTCCAGATTCATTATCCATATTCCATATTCATGTATTACTTGTGATTGTGTGTGTGTGTTCATGTAATTTGCATCGGTAAATCCACACATTTTATTACTGTGTTTGAGTGTGCCTCCATTTATGATATTTCTCTATGAGCATACATTTCTGGCTACAAACAATATATAATACACCCACTGAACTGCATTGCTGGGGTGCAGATATAATAACCCAGCTGGCGACCTTGCTAAGAGGAAGATAGAGAAGACAGGCGGGAAAGGAGTTCCTGCAACCTTTTTTTGTCTGGCAGGCAAGACTCAGGGAGGTTATGGTTATAGGTAAGCCTGAGTCTTCCTTCACTCCCCCCACGGGTCGAGGCCGGAACTGTTAACAGCAGTTTCCCCGTGTTTGACTGAAGGGCTTCCAGGGTGAATCAGTGGCACCCCTTTGTGGTGGAAGCAAAGACCTGCGGAGGTGGGCATTGTTGGTCCTCTCTTGTGTGACCAAGGAGACTCCGGTGAATCCAGGGAGTCGGAGGGGCTGAGTATTTGGGCCTTTGAGCTCCTAGCAGCCGAGTGTTAGCAGAGCCCCGGACCGCCCACCCCCACGTGACAGTGTTCTGTTTGTTATGTTCTCGGTTTATTGTATTTATGCGCATGCGTGTCAGGCTAACATTACCCTCATGTCTTGTACGTTGTTATTTCTGTACTGTATTGCATTGTGTTTGTGTTTATTGTTGTCGGCCCTTCAGGCCGGTATTTTGTGTATTTGTCATTTTGTACTTTTGTGATTCTGTAATTTGTGTTTTGTGTTCTGTTTGTTTTGTTCTCGTTTTATTGTTTTTATACGCATGCTTGCATTCAAAATTATAAATAAAAACAAATAATTTGTATTAAGTAAAGTGATAGTGAAAATAAGATATTTGTTAAGAGACGGTTGGTATGACACGTGGACACATTCCCATCGTGGGTTTAATTTCAATTGTGTCCGACTGGTGATGGTGGACTGTTACGACCAGGGTGGTCTATTTCAGGGAAACAAGATTTTATAGAAAGAAACACAAGGGTTGGCCGTTGAGTGTGCTACTGGTTTGCAGTGCAGCAGGCGGTACGATCAAGTAGTGATGTGAAAACTACTGGGTGTACTTAATAATTTGGTTGGTGGTTGTGGCTTAGTGGTTGACTAAGTAGTGGGCAGCTAGTAGGGTAGTGAATTTATAGATGATTTTACTATATATTTGGGTAGAACACATAAGAGAATGTAGATGATTATGGTATGAGCTTTTTGTAGTATGCAGCCGAAGGAGGCAGGCAGATTCAATTTGTTGATGGTGGTCTGTAAGTGAAGGCTTTTTAATTTATTTTATTTTGTGTGTGTATATATATATATATATATATATATATATATATATATATATATATATATATATATATATATATATATATATATATATATATATATATATATATATATATATATATATATATATATATATATATATATATATATATATATATATTATTTATTTATTTATTTACTTATTTAGGGGTACCATCACTGATTTAATATATATAAATAGGGTGATTTTGATTTCTCCTAATACTAAACAAACACCCATATTATAATCCTCACTGGTCACTCATAATATGGACGATTATTGCTGGGAGTGCCAACATTTTATCATTCAGGTAAGTCATTCGTACTGGTCATTAGCTCTACCTTTCCATTGATTGTAATACCTTCCAAGTTGTAACATTGAGCACAGTATCTTGGATAGGATTAGTGTTTCAACTCCAGGGACACTAATAGGTGTGTTGTGCTTTAACCGTTCCTGGAGAGGATTATATGCGACAGGGGGGGAAATGTTCTTGAACTGTGCTTCACCTTAAGTCTTTTGGGCGAGCCTTTGCTAGTCTTTGTAGGCCAGGTTCTCTTTCCAAAAGAGTTATTGGAAGGTAGAGTAAATGTCAACAGGCACTAGCATTTTCTGGGTAAGATTATGTTTATAATAAGTGAAAGTAATTATATCAATTTTAAATAACTTGTGTCCCAGGCACAAGAAGACATCATCCATTGTGGGTATAATTTTTTTAGTATTTTCCTGGAGGCCGAGTCTTACCTCTTGGCCTTGGACGGCCTATTAATATATGCTTTGGTGTTTAATTGGGGCCCCTTAGACGCAGCATAGAGAAGTGTTTGACTGGTAGTGCAAGTAAGAGCAGTCCAGGTTAATCTTACATTTAACTTCAGTTCTGACTTCAAACTCCATAATATTTAAGAACATTTTTTTTTTGTTCCATGTTCCACGGATTTTTACACGTACATATATATATGCAATACAGTCAACGTTAAGAAATGTATCATTTAACTATATATAATAATATAATCAAACACAGATATTGCTTGTGAAAGCATTGCTCTGTGACGACCCGGGTACATGCCCTACCATACATACACCACAAGTGTACTACATGATCCTTCGGCTGCTATCATGGCAGACTTAATAATTGTTGTTAAATGCTTGTAATGTGTTCTCATACTTATGTTATGCTAAACATTGTTTAATTGTTTCATCATTTTTGTCAACTTTTTTAATTTCATTCTCATTTATTACAACGTATTCAGTATATTCATTCTGTTGAATTGTTGAAATTGCCGTTAAATATTGTCTATTTGTATAATTATTCATATTATATTCCATATAATTAAAGCTATTTTCCTTTCCCATCTTACATATGTTAATAATTCTCTATGCCATCCCCTGCCTTACATTCAAGACGTCTCTAACATCTAACACCATGAAGCCTGCGTAGTTCTAGAACAGCTCCCTCAAATGAATTGGCAAACACTTTCCTGAGTTTCCACTCTATGCTATGTTTAGTTTGGTGTAGGGCTTAAGATTTAAGGCCTATCAACTGTACAAGGGTTATTAACCCTTAAACTGCGCATGGCGTATATATACGCCCTGAGTAACATGTCCCATGGTGCGCATGGCGTATATATACGCCATAGGGTGCCAGGCCTGATTCAAATGGCCCGCGGCTACACGGTAGCTTCCTCAGGGCTCTTGTAAACAGATGCCATTTTGAAAAAAATCGTGGGCAATATTCTCAGGCGTGAGAGGCACAGTACTGCTGGAGCAACCAAGGCCAGCGCACGCAGCATGAGCGAACAGCATTGATGTTCAGCTTGTGACCACAGCATCGCCGAAAAATGTCAAAATAAATATATAATTGTTATTATTTAGCGATGACAATATTACAGATGACCAATGACTGTGATATAAATAACCAGGGTTGTGATAATAGCAGGATTGTTGTAATAATTAGCGCTGTGGGAGGAGTGATGCTGAGAGACGGAGGGAGACAGCATCATTTACTAACTGTGGTGAACACAAATGTAGATACTTATATATAATGTGTGTATTAGTGTAATAACAGCAAAAGGATTATGCTGGGAGGAGCCATATGGGTGACGGAGGTGACGTCGTCTGCACGATTTGTCTAGCTGTTTAGAGGGTGGCCACTATGCTCTTTGGGCGCACTACAAGCTTAGGTGTACAGTTACGGTGCATAAAACATGTAGATATTTATATATAATATGTGTATATAGGGTAATAACACTGCAAAAGGTATTGTTGGGGGAGAAAGTTTAGTGCGTGTGACCTTGAAAGAGTGAGGGAGCCGCCAGCCGCCATCTGTGTATAGCGACGACTCTTAGTGCCTGAACTAACTATATCAGCTTAGCTGTACAGTTGTGGTGAACAAAATATACACATACTTATATATAACGTCTGTATATAGTGTAATAACACCACAACTGGTATTGTTGGGGGAGAAAGTTTAGTGCGTGTGACCTTGAATGAGTGAGGGAGCCGCCATCTGTGTATAGCGACGACTCTTAGTGCCTGAACTTACTATATCAGCTTAGCTGTACAGTTGTGGTGAACAAAATATATACATTATTATATATAACGTCTGTATATAGTGTAATAACACCACAAATGGTATTGTTGGGGAAGAAAGTTTAGTGCGTGTGTTGAGGGAGTGGCAGCGAGTGGCTGGCTGGTGTGTGGCGGTAACTCCTCGTTGCTTTTCGACTCTCAATACCAACTTAGTGGTTCGTTATGGTGACCAAAACATGCAGATACTTATATATAACCTGTGTATAGAGTGTAATAGCAGCAAAACTATTTGTTCATTGTTTTATAAACATAATTGAATCACTAATATGCACATCATACTTTTGAGTATAGCGATTATTAACCACTTTTATTATATAAATATATTACAATACACACTATTGAATAATATTACTGCAAAAAAACTAAGAAAAAATCAATCGGAGACATTGAAACAATTAGGTAATAATATCTTTGTGGCAACTTCCATCTGTCAACGCGGGTGACGCTGACCGGGTCTGACGACCGCTCTGTCAACGCCCACTTTTTGCCAGACTTCCTCGGTCAATTGCGCCCAAAATATGTCACCTACGATTTTTTTTTATTTTTTTCCGTGCTCAGGGGACACAAATTAACATGTTTAGAAGAGGAAAAAAAAAATTTGAATTTTTTTTTTCTTGCGCACAGGGGTGTAAATGTCCCAAGGACCCCTGAGCAGTGTAAGGGTTAAAGCCTTGACACTAGATTACTGACCAACCAGCAAGTATACTTTATCCCTGAACAAAGTCAAAAACTAAAGTAAACTCTCAGTGTGTATACCGAGAAATGGAGGACACATCTTGGTGTATATATATCCCTGCACGGTAGATATTGCCACTTTAAAGTTCACTGTATGGTAAGGTAAGTACCAACCTGAGGAGTTCAGTATCCATGTTAGGGCGGTAAGTAAATGTGTAATTTGGTTCCCAATAGACGAGGGAGCTCCCCAGCTCTTGGGCCAGCATCTTCAGCGGCTCAACCAGGTAGTGGGGAACATGATAGATCTTCAGACGTCGTTGCCAGTCCAATAGAGGCGTCTCCCTCAGCGCCACTATCAGTTGTTCGAATTCCGGTTCCCGGCAGTAGACGGCAATACTGGAGGGTACGTTCTAGAGGTAGAGAAACAGTGTAAGAACACCAGCGTCTGTGAGTTTATTACTTTGAAATGCGCGCACGCAAGTACAAGAGGTCATAGATTCAAGCTAACGAAACAAATGTGGCAGAAAATATTAAAATTTCTCTTTGCAAAAAGAGTTGTAAACGATTGGAATAAATGAAGTGAGAAGGCGGTTGATTCCAAAACTGTTAGTACATTTTGGTTTTGGCGGCGTATGGTTTCCGGCTTCACAACGTCACAAAAATGATGTACTAAATTGCCCGAACCAAACCTATTCGATGACCCGCGAATAGAAAACTGAACATCACATCGATTTTGCGAGCCGCTATGATTTGTAGCACATCAGTTTTTGGTCTTAGGGGAGTTATACGTCAAAATGCGATGTACTATGCGAGAGGACAAGATGCAGGAGGTACGCAATACTCACCGTATTCTGCCACAAGAGTGTGTTAGAGGGCGGTTGGGTGGGCAAGGTGTAGAACCTGGTCGTGGACAGCCACCCTCGAGCGTGTAGGAGCAGGTTGTTGAACGTCTGCCGCAGTTTACATTCACGTTAACAACTAAACAAAAATTATGATTAAAAATGAGAATTATTTGCATTCAAGAGCTCATTCTTGCTAATAAACTAACTTTTACGAAATGAAATGATATTATTACAAGATCTTGTGCAATATTATTGTAAGACAATGCTTTTTAATATTTTACTTGATAAATAATAATAATTACCAAAATTTTGTAGTCCTTCAGTGGGGAATGTTCAAAGCAATATATTTCAGTCCATAAACAGTGTTATGATCACAGGCTGCAGGAGAAATGAGTCTCCCCTTTAGAGTTATTCTGCCAGGCCTGATCTAACTAAGAGGTTAAGGAGATATAGACCTGGATATTTATATAGTAAACACTCGATTGAATTTGATAGATAGTTTAAGTGTATTGGCAGTGAATAAGAATATAGATAAATAACTGGTCATGAGATGTGGAGAATTTGCTGGGGGTGAGAGGCTCACTTTTGAGGATGTTGACCTCACTTAAGCACCAGAAATCGTGAGGGGAAGTAGCGCTCCGTTGAGCTCCTGTTAGAGAAGAACCCCCTGGCTGATATACCTTCTAGAGGAAGGAAGTGTGCAGACGTTTCAGCTGTGGAATCAATCTGGGAACGGGTGGGTTCAAGTCCTGAATGGCAGGAAGAGTTGTGAAGCCATCCTGAAACATCTTCGTGGGCAGTCGTGTGAGCGCCCTGGTGAAGCGTCTGCGAGTGAGCGCCCTCGCAGGAAACAATTTCATGGTAAGCACATTTTAACCAGTTAACGGTGATTGCCTGTAGTTATTCGTGTGCCCAGCAGCGTAGCACGTGTTTATTGATATTCTAGCGAGTAAACCTTTTACTCGCTCCATTATCTCATCTTAATGGTGTAACTAATTAGCACTAATTGCAGAAGATATAATCTCTTCCCTGATTACAGGTAACAGTTCTTCCATCCACCTCTTCTAGTGGAGGAAGCTGAGGTGTAGTCACCGAATATAAGCAAGCGATATGGGAATAGACAACCACCGCTCCAGTGCCAGGTAAGTCCACTACGGGCTCACCATAGCCCGTGCTACTTGGAACTTGTTCCGAGTAGCTAAATCTATAACAACAACTACAGAATAGACAACGGTACAATTTCCACAGTAGGAAATGTATATGTTTATCTCTCAGAATGTTTGGTAATATGTTTATTATTTGTGATGAGTGTCTATGTATGTATTAACACGATGTACTGAACAGGGTGAGAATATTTTGAGCTACCTCATCCCTTTGTGTGTATTTTACCTCAATAAACTTATTTCAATTTCAATTTCAATTTCCACAGTCAAGAATGTAATACTCAGCGTATGCAGTTCTGATCGACCCCAAGACGCTACAGCTTTGACACAGAACAGACAGCAGACTAGGACAGCATCGAGCTACAACGCTCTCCCACATAGAGCTCCGCGACTCCGGCATCACTCAGCTCTCCGCTCTGCTTCAAGCTCTGTCTCATCTCTACGATCCTGCTGTATCCAAGACTACTAAATAAATATATAAATATGAAAACCCACTAAATACTGTTTATCTAATCTACTTAACAACGTAACATAATCGTACGTCACAATATGTTAGGCAAATTTTATTGAAGCAGAAAGTTTAAATAAGAGAGTAAAGATGGAGGAACGTCCTGGAGGGCGAAGGAACGCGTGAGCCCTCGCGGTGGGCTCACGGCGGCGGTAGCTGCCTGGTGGGCTGCCCGGGTGAGGCGGAGCATGGATTCGTCTGAACGAGGGAGCCCCCTCATGGCGTTCGGGAACAGGGAGATGTCGGGTGAAACATTTATTGTGTGTAGTTCATTTCGGTTATATGTTTGTAGAGGAACATTTTTATTGGCGTATCAATGGGTTGCAGGTTTGTCTGAGAAAGGAGTTGTTGGGAGTACTTTGAGGCCAGAGAAGAAGTTAATGAGTGGAACTTCAAGGCTGTAGGAGTGGATGTGGTACCCTGTGGAAGAGCAAGCCCCATAGTGAGGAATTGGACCTCAAACTGTGTGAAGAGGAGCAGTGAAGTGAAGTTTCACATGTTTCTGTGTAATCAGTGGTATAGTACCACTGGAGTCCAAGGAAAACTTCATGGTGCAGCAACCTGGAAGAACTGTAGAGGATCCTGGTAAATACACCTGGAAGAACCTGATGTCAGTGTAGTAGACTTTCAGATGTGGGAAGGAAGTTTTTATTGACTGCATGTAGGGAGTTGGTAGAGTGCTTGATTGTCATTAGCGTACAAGTTTTTTTTATTATTATTATTTTCTACCACAGACGTGGTCACACATTTACAATGCTAACCAGCATATATACATTTTCTTCTGTCCTCCATGGACAGGGTTAGAGAAGTGTTAAACATATAGTTCAAGAGTTTATTGAACACTCAACCACAGAAGGTGATTTGGTGCTTTAAAAAGCTAAGCTAACCTACATACGTAAATACATAGATACACAGATTCACGTATGCCCTACATAAAGTGTTTGATGTGTCTTTTACATAGTGTCATTAATGTACATTTACAAAGGTGAAATATAATTCTGATCAGCTTCCATATATACTTTATACCCATACATATACATACACACACACATATACATACATATATACACACACATGCATTCACATACATTTGTCTCATTTACTCTGACAGGGTGAGATAGCTGATAAAGAAACTAGTATGCAATTAAGCACTTAATTACTGAAGGTGATGAAGGTGCTTTCACAAGCTCAGGTTATACAGTTACATCATATATATACATTGTATAGTTGATATATTACATGGTCAATCTTGGATACAAGTCCAATATATCATCAAGTGTTCCAGAACTCATATAGTAATTACAGAGTTCAGCATACCTTAGCCCTGGAGGGCGAAAGTCAGTCAGTATGGGACATTCTACAATATAATGTTCAATAGAGTGCATGTTTTCTCCTTCACAAAGTTGAAACATTGTGTACTCGACATTTGAGTTTTGAGAAAGCTGCCAGATATGTCTATATCCCAGGCGTATTCTGGCCACTATAACATCACATTGCCGGGTTCTTGTTCTATTAGTCCCATATGTGAATGTCTCCTCACGGTATCTATCATAATATTTAATGCTACAACTTTCAGGTCTTTGTGAATTTGTTAGTTCGGTGAGATTTTCATTAGATATTTACAAGACAGTGAAAGGTGGGTGATTGGTTATCATTTTTGTGCCAAGGAATACTTATACTGAGGTTTATAGAGTTACAGCTATAGGCTGGATTACCTGCAGATATATATATATATATATATATATATATATATATATATATATATATATATATATATATATATATATATATATATATATATATATATATATATATATATATATATATATATATATATATTATTAAATATGGCCGAAAAAGTAAGATTAATAATTCTAACACGAATTTTCTCAATCTTTCGTACATTACGCTTCACTGTTGGAGGTAAATCAAAAATCACTTCTCCAAAATTCATTTTTATTTCTAGTCTGACGCGACACGGGCGCGTTTCGTAAAACTTATTACATTTTCAAAGACTTCACAAATACACAACTGATTAGAACAGTAAGTTCTAATCAGTTGTGTATTTGTGAAGTCTTTGAAAATGTAATAAGTTTTACGAAACGCGCCCGTGTCGCGTCAGACTAGAAATAAAAATGAATTTTGGAGAAGTGATTTTTGATTTACCTCCAACAGTGAAGCGTAATGTACGAAAGATTGAGAAAATTCGTGTTAGAATTATTAATCTTACTTTTTCGGTCATATTTAATAATATATGTCTACAGGAAAGACTGCTACCAAAATATACTATATATATATATATATATATATATATATATATATATATATATATATATATATATATATATATATATATATATATGAATGAAAACTCACACCCCAGAAGTGACTCGAACCCATACTCCCAGAAGCAACACAACTGGTAACTACAGGGCGCCTTAATCCGCTTGACCATCACGGCCGTCAAAAGGAAGTGATAGCCGAGGCTATTTGAGCCACTTCCCCGACGGCAACTCGGATGGTAATCTTGGGCATAGCATTTCACCAAATCACCTCATTCTTTGGGGCACACGTGAGGAACACAAATGCGAACAAGCCTGAATGGTCCCCAGGACTATATGCGAATGATATAGTATATATCATTCGCATATATATAGACTATATATAGACTATATGCATTCAGGCTTGTTTGCATTTGTGTTCCTCACGTGTGCCCCAAAGAATGAGGTGATTTGGTGAAATGCTATGCCCAAGATTACCATCCGAGTTGCCGTCGGGGAAGTGGCTCAAATAGCCTCGGCTATCACTTCCTTTTGACGGCCGTGATGGTCAAGCGGATTAAGGCGCCCTGTAGTTACCAGTTGTGTTGCTTCTGGGAGTATGGGTTCGAGTCACTTCTGGGGTGTGAGTTTTCATTCGCATATAGTCCTGGGGACCATTCAGGCTTGTTCGCATATATATATATATATATATGTCCTAGGGCAGATAGTGCCCTAATTGTTTTACAAGGTTTAACCTGCTTGGTGAGGTTGGTAGCGTAAGTGGCAAGCCAGGAGTTGCGCTACCACTTGGTATAAGCAGCTGATAGAGTCTTGAGGGTATTGGTTTGCAACCAGGTTATAATATCATAAGGTGTTGAAGTTTATATACTTATATATTGTATGTGAGTCCTTTATATATGTTCTGTGTTGCTATTAAATGTTTGTAATGAACAGGTGTTTGCTCTTGTCCTAGTGAGGCTTTCCAGGAAGTAGAAAAGAGAGAGAGAGAGAAAGCACCATAGCTGTGGACAGGGTGGTACAGAGTTATAATTCATATGAAAGAGGGATTGAGGAGGTCATACCAAAAATAAGGAGAAAGTGGAGAGTCACAGCACCTCGAGTTAGGTGTGTACACGTGACAACGAGGCCAGTGTTGGGGCCGCACCCCCTAAAGGTGTGGCGCTGAGCCCATCTCCGAGAGTAGGAAGCGTACAGAGTGATCTCCTGATCTAGAGATAAGCACTCTACAGATTTTAGGTTGGTTTGTCCGTAAAGGACGTGCAACTGACAAAGACAACACCATAAAATCAGCTACATGTATTTGTAACACTAAGTCTAAATCAGATATATTTTTAAAAACAAAATATATCTGAAACAGTTTTCGTCTCACTGTTGTCAAGGAAGAAAAGTTGACTCATTGTTATAAATTAAGGCAAATCGACTCAGTTACTGAATACATGAAGTTGTCTCACGATCAATGAATAATAAGAAATACAATCGAAATACAATAAGAAATACGTTTGCTGAAATGATTTGAAATAAAAATATAGGTACACTGTCAAGGGATGCAGAAAGAGTTAATATAGTGTTTAACATATATCAGAACAATATCAAAGGTAGCTAAAGAAAAGGCTCAGGCGCATGAAAAATTATCCTATTAATATGATAATTTCAAGCAGTATGATAATCTTACTCAAACACATGATTGCTTTTTGGGCATCTATCCGAAATGAAACAAATTACAAAAAATCTTGTGAATCTATTGGAGTCGAAATCTACCGTAGACTGTTCGACAATACGGTTTTTTCGTCATCATAACAATGCTTTGTTATTTTAAATTGACTCTTTTTGCTTTAAAACAGAAATTGCTGAAATGTACATGGTACTTGGTAAAGTAAAAATTTAATAAAAATAATTGTGGTTTTCGTTTTTAGCTATATGTACAATTTTCCGTGATATAGACCATTTCCTGATACTATATGCACTGAGTTTACTTTATTTTTTTTTAATTATCAGGGAAAGCGCCAAGCCATTACGACATTATAGCACTTGGAAGGGGTCAGGATAAGACCTTGGGATGGGACAGAAGAAGGAATAATGCCCAACCACTTGGACGGTCGGGGATGAGGATATTCTGGAGAAATATAAGAATTTTGCACCAAGATTGTAACCTTTTGTTGGTTGTCTGAATGTCTATTGCAAATTGTCTATATATCTAGTCATAAATGTATCTGTGTGTACGTCTGGTAACATACTACATGTGTAAAGGAAGAAATGTATATGTTTATCACTCAGAATGTTCGGTAATATGTTTACGGTTTGTGATGTGTCTATAAATATATATGAACACATTGTATTGAACGAGGTGAGAATAACTTAAGCTACCTCATCCCTTTTTGTGTATTTTACCTCAATAAACTTATTTCAATTTCAATGTAAACTTGTGGTTTTGATGTGGCACGTTTGGCCAAGTCATCCGTCACCTCGTTGAGAACTATTCCAACAAGAAATGGCATTGTAACGTAACTGTACTTTACGACTCGTTGCACTACCAGAGACAAAATCATAACGGTCTAGGGAGATCATAAGACTCTGTATCTAACCGCATGCAACCAGTGTAAACTCGTAGTTACGTACATACATAATAATTAGAATCAAAATCACCAGGGAAAAATATAACACCTGTATATAAAAAGATTTATATTAAATATAAATGTACAAATGTAAAATGTAAATTTATAAATTAAATATAAATCTAGGTAATTATTTCTTCAGGTATAATAGTAAATCAGATGACTTATTCAGAAATATATATATATATATATATATATATATATATATATATATATATATATATATATATATATATATGTCGTACCTAGTAGCCAGAACGCACTTCTCAGCCTACTATGCAAGGTCCGATTTGCCTAATAAGCCAAGTTTTCATGAACTATTGCTT